GCTCTGGGACCAGCAGGTCCCGCTGGCACAGGGTAGCCAGAAGCTCTCCCACACACTCACTGGGCCTGGACTAGGACTGGATCTGGGGGTCCCTAGAACACAGCAAAAATTCTCACATGGTGGGTGGGGTGGGGGGTGCTGTGGAGTGTTGGGGGGGTCCCAAGGGGGTGGAAGAGGGTCTTATCCATGCTGCGCCTGGGCTGGAACTGGCAGGTCCTGCTGGCACAGGGTAGCTGGAAGCTCTCCCACACACTCACTGGGCCTGGGCTAGGACTGGATCTCAATAAAAATTATTAAAAAACATTAAAAATGATATAGATTTTCACTAAACAGGATGATAGAAATTCAACAATGGTTGTTTACATTGCATATTGTTGTCTTCAAATTATTTGTTCAGATTACCAGATATAAGCATGAAAAATAGGTCAAAAGAAAATTTAAGCATTAACGGTCCTTTTAATAGACCAGCAGAAATCAGCAGCAGTTATCCCTGCTGTCGTGTATACACATATATTTGGCGACCGAGGCCATGTGGACTGCACGAGCGCAGGTGTCGCTTCCTGGTCCTGGTTTCCATACTTTGGACCCACCCCTGGGTGTGCTGGCCTCCCGGTTATGCAGTCGCTCTCCGCGCAGGCCTCAAGGTACCTCCGGCCTGTCTTCCCTAGGAGCTACACCGGATGGCTTTCCATTACACCCTTCAGGCTGGATTTGCTCGCCTTTGAATGTTGGATAGAACTCACTCATAAAGCCACCCCTTCCTAGGTTAGCTGTTGCTACAAGGAGCTTTTACAAATACTGAACTTTTCTCCATTCTCTGTGAAGTTGTTCAGGCTTTGTGCTTCTTCTTGATCTAGCCTTGGGAGGTTGCATATATTTTGAGAGAAGTTGAGGTTCCAGCGAAGTTGGTACCGATGCTGGGCCTGTCATAGGGTGTTTATCACTCCACGGGGGGTGGCCTAGTATCTGCCTGGGTGAGCTGTGGCCAGAGAGTCCCTCATGGAGGAAGCTTGCTTGCCCTGGAAGATGGCCTTTGCCTCTTGTCTAACCATGCTTTCTCCTTGGCATGCAGGAAAAGCTCAGCCTGGGGTAGCCCCCGTCCTGCAAATCAAAGGTGAAAACCCAACACACAGCCTTTGTAGCAAGCATGTCTTTTTCTCAGTCTTGCTAAGTTTGTCAATTTTGTTTATCTTTTTACAAAACTAACTCTTAGTTTTGCTGATTTTTCTATTCTTTATTTCTTTTATTTTACTTTTATAGTTTTATGTTCTACTTTAGACTGTTTATTAAAGCCATTTTACTATTAATAAAGTCCCTAGTGTAGGATAAGGACTGTCTCTCTCTCATTATGCCAGAAAACAAAGTTGTTCATAACTGACCTCAAGTCTAAGTAGGGATCGTGTGTCTTATGTATTTAGGTAGTCAGTAGGTCAGGAGTCCCCCTTTCTAAATTAAAGGAAGCAGATGTTACTAGACATAAGTCCAACTTAAACACAGAGTTTTTCCTTTGATGAGTGGTGTAGCAAGTTGGCATTGTATCTATGAACATTTGTCAAGTATATTAATATGGTGTGCAATTTAAGATGAGTTTATGCATCTTGTATAAGAAAATTCATGAAACATATATACATTAAGAATAATTTCATTGCACCTTTTTATTTGAATCATGTTTTAGGCTTTATACTATTTGTATGTATGTGTGTATTTTTGGAGCAAGATTATTTGCAAAAAGTTTACTGATGTATTTTGTTCTATCAGTATTATAATTTTACAAGACATTTTTATTAATACTGCATAGATTTATTATTATTCCTTCACATATAACAGTCTTATTTTCATATACTACTCTAGTGTCATTACAACCTGTCGTTTCTATGGGGAACCACTATTGGTTCACATTTAAGTTAAGCTAATATTAATTGCTTTCCTAATTATCTTACTAATTGCTAATGATATGGTTTGACAAATCAAGCAGTAATCAGAGCTTGAAACATCACATGCTGTGTTCCTCTGTCCCAGCCCAGACGGGCCATGTCTGCTACTTGGTATACATGTCTGTTCCACAGAAAAGCCATAGAGCAGTCTTTTAAAAATGGGGCGTTTAGGCTGTGGAGATGGCTCAGTGGTCTAAGCGCCTGCCTGGCAAGTGCAAGGGCCTGGGCTTGATCCCTGACACCACAGGCCATGCTGGCCTTAGTACCCCAGGTGTGTGTGCAGGTCCCAAAACTGGGTGTGGTGTCACACACCTGTGCTCCCAGTGCTGGGGAGGCTGAGACAACAAGATCGCTACGAGTTTGAGTGTGTAGCAAGATCCTGTACCAAATAAATAAAAGATTAAAAGTTAAAAAAATTAAAAATTGGGCGTGTAAATCGTGGTCCTAAAACCAGTTTGCTCTCTTTTCTTTCCGAGCTTAATGATCTCAAGTGCCTCCTGAAGGAGATTGCTACTAAAATCAAGTAGAATGACACGAGCTGTCACGAAAAGGCAGTCTAATTATGGCAAGGTAAGCAGTCCTAGTGCCTTTTTTCTTTGCTCTAAAAATTCACACACTTTAAGTCTGCCTACTTTCTTCCTTTCCTGCTTCTTTTGTTTTTCTTTTTGCATCCTGAGCTCAGGGCCTTCACCCTGAGCTCCATCTTCAGCCCTTTTTCTGTTTTGTTTTGAGACAGGGTCTCTGTGAATCACCAAGTTCCTCAGGGGGCTTGAACTTACAATACTCTGGCCTTGAGCCTGTTTTGAAATTATGATAATTTTCTTACTTTATTTTTAGGCTTTAAAATAGTGCATTGTGCCAAAATATTCAAATAATTCAGGGCTGTGGAGGCGATCCTATGGACGCTTCTCCTCCTGCCTCCTTCCCCACTGCCGCCGGCGGGTGGAGGCGCCCTTGGGGCCTGAACAAAGCCTTGCAGCAGACAGAACCACTGCAGTAAGTGGAAACAAGGTCATGCTCTGCCAAGCCGTGGTGCTGTTTTCACCCTGAGCACTGCATCATGGGATTCTTCACTGACTGGTGCCTAGAAAGCACGCCTTAGGCCCATCATTCTTTATGTTTATTGCCACGTGGCGAACACACATATGATGATCACCTTCTTACTCATCGAAACTGCCTCCGTGAGACACTTCAAGGCTTTTGCAGTAGCTCACTTACACACTGAAAATGTTATTCAGTTCCCCAGCCAAGCTGGGCTCTGGGCGTTGCTCTAGGATCTGACCATTCGCTTTAATTATGTTTCCACTTTAACTGCCTTAAGCCTGAAACCAAAGGTCAGAGATGCTGCTAGACACAGGAGGAGTTAGGGAAAAATAGCAACGAGTATTCTGTGGGACTGGACATTGCTGGGAAAGTAAATTGCAAAGAATGGAAATGCATTGAGAAATTCTTTCTCCCACCCTCTCCTCCTCCACCCTTTCCATTAATATTTACTGAGTGCGGCTGGGGAGCCAGCTGGCTGGCCCCTGGGCTGAGCGCAGCTTGCGCACGTGGCACTTGAATGTCAGACTCGTCCTTGGTGGAGAGATTGTGCTGCAGGGAAACCGCTGCATCAGTTCCTTTCACTGTGTGGCCACTTGGCTCCCCGCCCGGAGGGTTACAGTCACACATCAGATCTAAAAGTCCTGTGCCGTGGAGGGTTTGTCAGAGCAAGATTGATGCACATCTGATACACTCCGAAAGCCAGACACAGTCTCCCGACACTCGGGCACAGATGCCGGGAATTCTCAGGAAGGACTTGTTTCCACAGGGCTGCTTCATGAAGACAGCAGCAAACTTTATAATAAGTTATAATTTGGATTTTGAGGTGCTCGTTTTGCTTAGTTTATGAGCTGGAAGATAGAAAAACATAACCTGAAGCACATAAAATAATTAAAAATAATAAAAAATCTAAAGGTGATACAAGAGTCATAATAATCAGAAAATAAATTCAGACATGTGCTTCTGCCACTTCAGCCCTCCGATCCTCTCATCGCTTGTTCTTTTTCAAGTATGTTGACTTTAGGAGCTGAGAAGATAGCTCAGCAGTCTAAGCACCTGCCTGGCAAACTCGAGGATCCAAGTTCCATCCCCAGTATCACATGCTGTGCCTGCCCCGAAACTAGGTGTGGTGGTGCATGCCCATAATCCCAGCACTGGGGAGGCTGAAACAGGAAGATCACTACGAGTCCAAGCTGCATAGTTAGACCCTGTATCAAATAAATAAATGAATAAGAAATTTAAAAACAACAAATACATTAACTTCAGTAAAATAGGCAAACAGACTGATTTCCTTCATAGACACCTCCCTTTGCTTAGCCTTCAACCTTCTTTAATATATTGAGAGTTAATTAGCTGTTGAACAAAAAGGGCTGGGGAAGGATGTTACCTTCCTTCCAGGTGTGTGCGGTGTGCATGCCTCTGTGTCAGAAGACAACAACAAAAGGACCACCTAAGGAGACACTTGTCCTAAGCCTCCTTAACCAGTGACATCTTTAGAACAAAAGATTCGGCAGGACCAATTTTCGTGCCTGATTTACTTCCAGATATACTACCTTCTTGGTATACTCCCTGTTTCTCTTGTCTTTAAGAAGTTGCCTGCACATTCAGCTGTACAAGCAGCTGGCGACACGCTGCTAAGACACTCCCCCAGGGGCTGCTGGTGCTTCCTTCTCTGGAGGAGCGAGGCAGTCATCCTTCCTTAAGGTCAGGTCCAGGGAGGAGAAGGTCTGCCTCCAGGAGGGTGACTGGTGCAGGCAGCCCACCTCCCCACCTCCATCCAGGAGGCTGTCTTTGATCCTGCTGGTGGGAAGGAACAAATGGACTACTGTGTTGCTCTTTCCCCTCTCCTACTTGTTCTTTCCCCTCTCCTACTTGCTCTTTCCCCTCTCCAACTGTGGGAAGTGAGGCCAAGGCGGTGTCCCTGGAGACTTTCCACTCTGCACAGCAGCACCTCCCCCAACCCCTGCAGCTCTCAAATTACTGAACTTGTCCCTGTGGCAGTCATCACGCACCTGCCTTTTGATAGATTATTCCAACCTTTAACTGTATTACAGGCTCCCTCTTTTTAAAATGTATTTAGTACAAGGTCTGCAGGGTCTCACTACACAGCTTGGCTCAGAGTGATTCTCCTGTTTTCAGCCTCCCAAGCATTAGGATCATAGGTGCACGCCACTATGCCCAGTGTCAATTGCTGTCGCAGCTTGCCCCAGGGGCGGGGCCGGCACAGTACACTGAGGATCAAACCCCAGTCCCTACATCTGCCTAAGCAGGCGCTTTAGTCGGCTGAGCTCTCTGGCCAGCCCTGGGCTCACTTTTATTTATGCAGAAACCACAAAGCAAATAAAGTGCTCAGAGACTTTCTGGTCTTCACCCCAGCTGAGTGGTCACAGCCTCGGTCACTGAGCCTCTCCCACGACGCCCACTGGCAGCCTGGCCAGCGCAGGCATCTTTCCAAGAAGAGCAGTCTCAGAGCCAGCTCTGCACCGAAAGAAAGCGTGCAGGTTTGGGGGCGCACACCCGGCACTACTCCCACTGTGTGTTCGTTGCGATTTGAAGCAAGCCACGCCCTGCCTGTAAACACCAGTGTGAAATCTCCTCCTAACGGTGTTGTGTGCTTTCTTCTGCAGGTGCTGTCAGCCTTCTGGATCGAGAAGTTTAAGTAATGCTGCAGGACAATTCTGCTATGGACTACCGAAGGAGAATTTTCTGGGTCCCTGGCTTCACTGTGGATGGCTTTCAGGCCCCCCAGCAGGCCCACATCTGAGAACAAAGTGTGCAGCTGATTTCACTCTTTCGAGGGGTAGAAAGGACAAGCCTTCCCACGGCGGGCTTCCGCGGGGCAGGCACCTACAACCGTCGGCTTCCTATGCCCTGTTCTGGTGTCTGAGTGCTTAAATCCTTTCTCTCATCCTTCATCTGTCTTCATTTTATTTTGACATGCGCATAAAACAGAAGAGCCTTTTTCTTTTTTTACCAAAAAGACTGTAGCCTTGCTTTTCCTCTTGCATTATTTTGCTCCTTCCTAATTGATTCTCTATTTCTTTTTTGTTTTGTCCTATGTGACTATAATACATTGATATGTGGACTTCCAAATCAGGCCAGACTCTGAAACATGCTAGAGTCCAAGGAACCTGCTCTTTGGGGGAAGCCATTTCCTTTCTCATCTTGCTTCTCACTTGTAGAGGGAGGACGCTGGGCAGTGACTGCCCCAGTGGGTCTCCACAGGAGCACCCCGGAAGGGATCAGGGATTGCCTTCCTCAAACAATACAGAAGTCTCACGCAAGACAGAGCCCTGAAGGCCACCCCTGATGGTGTTCTGGTGCTTTTCTTTCTCTTATTATTTTTCCCATAAAAAAGAACACATAGATGTTATAGACAGTACGGCCTCACAGAGATGCAGAAGCCCTCCCTGCCTCCAGTCGCCATTCCACCCATCGCTGGGTATTTTCCATCTCTCGATTTTTTTCTAGTTTGATCTCCCTTAAATAGTTTTACATAGCGTCATCGTCCTGCAAGCACAATTTTTGTAACTTTTTTCCCTTAATATCTTATCAAAGATGTTTTGTTTTATGTTTGAGGTATTCCTAAGCATTATGCTAACCATTTCATAATATTTAGCCTCCTGTAATTTCTGTAATGCTGGTCATTGGGAAGCTGTTCCCAGTTGGCCCTTGGGAAGAATCTCTTTGTACATGACCTTGTTTCTGCATTTGGGTAAACTTCCCCAGGCTAGGTTCTAAGGACTATCTACTGATTATTGAACCAGTTACAAGTTCACAAATGTATAGCAAATAAGAATTGTTAAATTGAGTATAATATGAGATACACTCAGCTACAACTATTAAAATAAAATATTGCACCTAATCCTTATCTTAGGAATAAACCTATGTACTTATTTCAATATTGTGTCACTATAGACTTGGGGAGCTACCTTTCTGTGTACCCCATCCTGGCCTTCACAAGTGGGATTGTCTGAGCCAGTGTACCCACAGCAACTTAAACTAGCTTTCTGGTTCTGGGTAGACAGTAAACACAGTGGATGAAGAAGAGAGTCTTAGAAGGAACCCATTAAATGACCATCTAATTAGAAAAAGTTCACAAACACTACCCCAAACTTCTGTTCTTATTTTTCCAGGCAGTAGTTAACAGGCCCATTCAGCTCCTGCATGACATTTGCAGGGAAAGCACACAAACGAAAGATTTTTTTTTTTTAATTTAAGCCCAATAATGGCTTAAATGGGACTCTTATTTGTAGGGCCCATCAGTTCATGGTTTCAGATGCTGAATGACGGGACAAAGCTTGATGACAAAGCACAGCCTATGACTGGAAGGCTCAGATTTGCTGTGAGAGAAAATGTCACTTCCACTTCACCATGGCAACTAAAATACCTGCTATTTCTGAAACCCAGGAAGAAGGTCATGGCTGCTCCACACAGACTGGAAAATACATATGTGGCAGAAAAAAAAATAATAATTCCTAGCCATAAGATTGAACACAGAGAGAAACAGTCCTAGCCTCTCACCCTAGATTCAAGTGGGGCAGATGAATGAAATCAATAAATTATATTTAGAGCTGCCACTAGAGGACACTAGTCAGATAATCTCTTTACTGATTTCCCTTTTATGAACCTGCTTGTGCATTCCTAGTTCCACTGATGGTTTCTGTTGGCTAAATAGGTAGGCTCATGTGTACCCCAGGGCCCGTGGCAAAAGTGATTCTTCTGTTGATCAGAGAGTCTCCAACAAGTCCTGTGTGAGGCAGGGACTTGTAAGAGTTGCTGCTTCTGCCCCTCCCAGGCCCTTCTGCATGGTCCCTCCCTAGGCTTCCGGTTATGTTAAATCGTGACTTCCAGCGTAGCTCTCAGACATAGCTCACGTGCTGACTGTTCCTCTAATCAAAGTGTTCCATGCTTGTGTGTACTAATTGTGGCTTGTGTGCCTGTGCACAACCTCTGAGTGTGGGGCTTGGTTTAAATGAGCAAGTCAACGAATTAAATAATCGAAGCATTGTCATGCGTTGTTTTGGTCATTCTACGGAGAGTGAAAAAAGAATTCTCATTGTGTTAGAGTCATTTCTAAAGAGCGTCCATTCCCAGAGTTATGCGGGCTGATGTCTTGGAGCAGATAACTGAAGCCTTACGACTGGATCAAAACAGAAGAGCCTTGTGCTCTGGCTCTTGTTAGTAGAGACTGACATCTTGGGCCAGCCTGGATGCCCTCATGGGATGCGCTGTGCCCTGGTCCCTCTCCTCCAAACCTTGTAGATTCCAGGAGGAATCAGAAGCAGAGTGTGCTACCCCCCACCTGCTGCTGCTCTGGCCACAGGGAGACTCCCTGGGTGGTAGTCATGGAAACAGCCTCTGTTTCAACAACAAAAGGCTCAGAAGTCTGGCCCTGGGGAAGAGCTGGGCTGGACCCTAAAGCCACACTTCCTGGTACCCCCTTTGATCCTCCACCCAACCACAAGCAGAAGGGCCTCTCTTGTGCTGTTGATGGAACTTGGTGGAAAAATCCTTCCTTGGTAGCCTGTTCATTTATTCCTGATCTCGGATACTTGAGGACCAGCCCTGGTGTGGGATCCATCTGGGCTAGGGAGCTGTGCATACATACTGACAAACATCAAATATTTTAAAGTCTGCTTTTCCCTTACAAAAGTCTTATTTCTCACAGAACTCATTGTATTTCCCCGTCTGTGTGTATAAAAGGAATCTGCATCCTCTGTCTTCCACCCTTTTGCCATCTATTGGAGGAGCCAGGTGAACTGAAGAAACAGGACTGACACCCCAAGGCAGAGGTCAAGTATGGGGGCTGATAGGGACACAGAGGGAGAGATGCAGGGGATGCTGATGTGGGGTTGGAGGAGCCTTGGAATGCTTAGCCCGGCTTGCGCAGCAGGCAGGAGGAAGTTGGCTCTCCCATATTCTAAGAGACCATCTGGTATATGTAGGACAGAGGTTCCCCAAGAAACAACTGGGGGCAGAGAGCAAGACACAAGTCGCCAAAGTTGGCTGCTGCCCCACCAGGCAAGGGCAGGGCACCTGCAGTCCGTGGGCAGCTCTGAGGACTCAGGAAGGAGAAAGGGCAGCAAAATGAGGTGCAGGTAAGAAACCATGAAGGGCACAAATCTTCAGCAAAGGGTGTAGAAGCTGAGGCTCGGGGCGCAGTGCAGAGGTGGAGTGGTTTTCTAGCATGCATGAAGCCTTGGGCTCCATCCTTAGCATTGAAGGAAAAAAGGTAAAGAAATAAAAATGTCACATCTGCACATCACACCGAGTTTTCTGTGGCCTCAGGTCCTGTGGAACACGGGTGTGCTCCCTCCTCGGCTGTTTCTTCCTGTGTTTCATGCCTCTGTGCAGTGTCTGATAGGAGGCCTGAGGCGCTGCTACCTAGAGCCCTGGAACACGTTGGCTTCCCTCGTGTGACCTCAAGAAGGAAAGGGTGCACATACCCAAATAGAATGGCTCCACTTCCTCAGAAGGCTGCGAGGGTTTAACGAGTCAACTCATTAAAGAGGTTCTGAGGTCTTGGCACTCTGTCACTGCTCAGCGAATGTCTCCCCCCGCCCATGGTATCACCATTCTCTAAAGTGCTCTGTCCAAAGTCACTTCTGCCTTTCTTCCTCACAAACTCCTATTCTACTGTCAGAGCCCAACTTGAGAATCACTGGCACTGGACAACCAGCACTCACAGAGCAGCCCCTGGCATCTCTGTCTTGTTAGGTGTCCCTCCAGGTGGTAGGCAAGAACTTCCGGCCACAGGCTTTCAGGTACCATCCACCTGCTCTGCATAAATGGAGCGTAACAGTCATGCTACTTGGAAAGCCATGGTCGCCCAACCCCAGCATGGACTTTTCAGGCCACTCCTGCCCTGCTAGACAGAACAGTCCCAGAGGAAAGAGGTGCCTTCTTCGTGGCTTTTGCAGTCTGCACCTAGACTGCTGCACGGGCTCAAGGTGCTGTGCAACTGCATGATACTGCTCTGCCCCACTCCTCAGTGGCCCCGTGACAGTCACACGCACGGCCCTGCTCTCTCCTGCCTGGTGGAGTACTGCTCACCCTTGGGAAGCACCACCCTGTCCTGAGCTTGCATCCAAGGCAGAGGCCACTGGTCTTTCCCCATGCGGGGATGGAACTTGGTTTGTGAACTTGTTGGCAGTCCTGGAGGCCATCTGGGAGGGAGCTTGGTCATGGTCGAGCATTGTGCAACAGGAGTTTCCAAAGAAGCAGAAAATAGAAGGTGTACAAGCAGTGATCGAAGCATATGGAGAATATTTACATTAAAACTGTGAAAGACACGTGGCCATAAATCGACCTCAACATCCTTCCCAACACTTCAAACACACTTATTCCAGTGTGCACGCCGCTTTCTGAAGTGGTCCTAGAAGTCCTCGTTCATGAGTGTGCATACAGGGCATGATGAAAACTACGAATGCTGCTGCAGCATGAAACTCGCCCTCAGGACCGCACACTTCAGTTTGTTAGTTGCCCAAGTAACAGCTCCTGTTCCAGTTGTGGTTGCTTTTGTCTCTAAGAAACGGCTGGAGACTGTGAGACATAGCTGGTCACTACGGTGCACGTTGTGTACACCAATCCCTAATTGACAGGCCACTCTGCCTCTGTACTTCCTGCTTGCTCATCCAAGGTAAGCTGTAGGCCACCAGAGATCAAGGCCTGATATTCTGAGCAGGGTCCCAGTCAGTGACCATCCACATAAATAAATCTGCCTCCAAATCCTGGGTGTTGTTTTAGTGTTTCTGCTTGCCTTTGCATCTAGTGTGATGGCCAGGAAGATTGACCATGTGGACCTCTTTGGTCACCAGTTATGGTCCTCACAGATGGAGCAAGGACCTCTCCAGGTCCTGACAGGAAGGCATACCTTCAAGATTTCTTGAGTCCCCTCAGAGGTCTGCAGGAGGGTTCCTGGCTCCCTCCTCAAGTGGCTCACATGGACCCCAAAGGGAGGAGGACACAAGCTGCTCGTCCATCTGTCTGCCTGCCTGAACTGAGTAAGACCCTCCAGAGCACCCCAGTTAGTCTGACAGTCCTGCTCCATTTAAGAAGAAGAGCTTGATCAACACTTGTTAGTTGGCCACCCTCACAGGAAGTGGTTGGGACATTTAACCCCTGTCTGCTGAATGAATGTGTGAGAGAATGTGTGAGTGAGTGGAACAGACTGCGCAAGCCACAGGCTGCTCCACTGCGCACTGTTCAGGGAAGCACTGTTCGCAGTGGCTAACTGGACCTCACCTGCGGTTTCATGGTGACTGACGTACAGCATAACAGAGCCCTCACACCCTCCCTAGGGTCTCACCTAAGCCCTCATGAAGAAAGAAGACAGGTGGCTTCTGAATGGTCTCTCTCTGAGGGGCACTTGCCCATTGTCTGTTGCATCACCATTCAAGGGTACAGAATATACACTGTAGATAGACAGAATGGGAACTAATAAGTTAAGACCACAGTCCCTGACTTCAGGAAAGGGGGCTTTTGTGGAGTTAAAAATGAAACCAAACTGTTCCCTGTATCTCACAGAAAAAGGAGGCCCACTCTTGAGAATTCCACCTTGGCACCCTTGTTGGCCACCACAGCTGCTGCCAACACCACAGCTTCCCTCCTTGCTCCTGATTTGTCTGTTTCCAGACAACTGAACGGGTTCTAGCTAGCCATTGACTGAATTCTGCCACACAGACCCGCCCTCCCCCCAGCCTTCTGCTTATGGGCCTCTCCTGGTCAGATGGTGTCATCTAAAGCCCATGAGATGACTGTCAGCAGCTCCTTCTGAGTTCCACATTTTGGCTGAAGAAAAATTGGACTGTCATCCCTGATGAATTAATTTTATCCTGTTGGGCCTAAATAGAGAGGATAGACCAAGCCCTAGCAAACTGGGCCTATGAGAGCTCATAGTCATTGAAAAAGCCTGCGGAAAACCTATGACTTTCCTGGTAGACAATGGATCAGAACTCTGTGCCTCCAAAAGTTCCCTTTGTCAAAAACTTACGGTCACGGGGCCAACTAGGACTCTTGCCTCTTGCCTCTTCTGCTGTACACAAACTTACAGCCTAGACAGATGCCTCCTTCACACCAAGCCAGTCAGCCTCCCTCTTGTTTCCAGAAAATCTTTCATGGCTCCTAACTCATACAATCTTTTTGGCCTGTTTTTAGATTTAAAAGATGCCTTTCTCTGCATCTGAGGTAAAAGGGCCATCTCACTTGGACTCAGTTACCACAAAGGATTAAAAACTCTCCCATTTTGTCTCTGTACCCATGTCCTGCATGTCAAGAAAGCCAACTGAACCATGAAAGCAAACCCACAAGGGCATCTGGGAGGCTCCCAGTTTCAGCCCATGCCAGGTGAACTTTATCTTGTCCTGCCCAAGGACCCCGAGTCTGACCTGCCTCCTCTTCCTCCCATTCATTAACCCCATGCTACTCAGTCAGCTGAGATGCCACCACTTCCAGTTCCGTCTCCTGCTCCATAACCTCCTGCTAACACTGAAGAACACCACCACATTTTAGAGGGGGCCTAAGCCTGTTTAAAATCAAAAGTCCCTGCCACTGAAGTTGATCCTGATGCTCGAGTGAACAGTTTTTCCTTGACCACATCCAAATTGGGACTGTGAATCACAGACAGCCATGAAGCCTTAGATCAGTATCACACTGCTCTCCTGGAAGGCCTCAAAGAGGGGGCAGGCAACCAATAAAAATATCTCAAGTTACACAGTGGGTAACTTCAGTAACTTGACTATGAGGTTGATGGACCCTTATCAAACAGGAATTCGTGTACATGCTTGAGTGTCCTACACCTCTCCTGGGATGTGACAAGCCTCCCTCACACTTGGGCTCTCTGTCATGGCCTGGTCACTGA